CATCGAAAGGTATTCCCAGTGAGCAAGAAGAGCATAAGGCAGACAACAAGAGTTCTAGAGCTGATAATGCAGATTTAGTAGGACCAATGCAAGCCAGCTTGGGTGGAGCCAGGTATGTGCTGGTCATTGTAGATGATTTCAACAGATTTGGTTTCTGTTATTTGCTGAAAAGCAAAACAGAGGTGCTGCAGAAGTTCAAGCAATGGACTTGTCAATAGGCTGTGGAGTTCCTCTATAAATGATACTCAATATGCTGTGCTATATGGGAGAAAGCCATCTCTATCACATTTAAGGGTGTTTGGAAGCAATGTATGGGTGCATATTCCAAGGCAATCAAGGAGAAAAGGGCAACCAAAGGCTAAAAAGCTCAGATTTATGGGCTATGAGCCTGGCTCAAAGAGCTATTGCTTTAGTGATGGGAGCAGAAGTATAGTAATTTCCAGATCTGCTACCTTTGCAGAGCAGAATTGATGTCAATTCTGGGGATGATCCACTTAGTGATGGTAACTCACTTAGTGACAGTGTCAGCGTTCAGAGAGGAGAAGCTGAAAAAGGACAAGAAAAGGAATCAGAAGAAGATGGTGACTCTGATGTGAAGCAGGAAAGGGTTGACAGTCAAGAGCAGTGAATGCCATGCAGGTTAGAGCAATGGAACAAGGGGATTCCACCTGACAGGTATTCTGCTGGGAAAGTGGTATGAGCCAAGAAACTATCAGGAAGTATTGGCACTACCCAAAGTGAAGCAAGTGAAGTGGAAAGAGGCCATGGACAAAAAAATGAAATCCATGGATGAACATAAACTGTTCACCTCTATGACTTTGCCACAAGGTTACAAAGCTGTAGGATGGAAATGGGTATACAAAAAGTGTTACACAACAATGAAGTCCAATATAAGGCAAGATTAGTGGCACAGGAGTTTTCGCAGAAGAAAAACATGCTGTTATGTGTCTGACTAATGAAACACTTCAAAGAACTTTCAGGTATGATTTAACCTAAAAAGCCTTTTATTAGTGTAGAGGGGTGTCAGCACGGCATGGTGGATGCCAAGATCTGAATTTCCCTTCCTTTGCACATAACATTCCAGGCATTTCCCCTCCCCTATTTTGGGGTCATGATTCACATCTTCCAATTAACCTGGAGGCCAAAGATTCACTTCTCTTCCTTTTCCTGGGCTTTCCTTATAATTCTCCTCCCCTTTCTCTGTCATCTGAATTAATTCTAAAAATATCAGACAGTTCTGCTATATTTTGTCAAAGCAAGAATATTCAATATTAGCAGCGTTGACACATGCACTATGATGAAGTATTTGTACCAACGGTAAAAAGTGAAACTATAAGGTTGATAACGTCACGTGGGCATAAAATTTGACACTTTGATATAACCACAGCATTCTTCAAAGCAGAATTGGAGGAAGAAATTTACATGGTTCAAGCACCAGGGTATGAAAGTAAAAAGCCTGGCCCTGTGTATAAACTGAACAAGGCCATTTATGGGCTGAAGCAGTCATCCAGAAACTGGAACATCTGTTTAGATGTGGCATTGAATGGTCTTGAGTTCAAGAGTTATAAGGCTGATGGTTGCATATATACTGCAAGGTTCCATGATGGGGATTGCCAATTATTAGCATTTGTTGATGATCTTTGCTTCATTGCAAAGGATCTAGCACAGGTGAAAGAATTTGCTAATCAATTGGAGAAAAAGTTTTAGCTGAAACATCTGGGTGAAATACAAAACTATCTTGGTGTAGAGATACAAAAAAACTGAGAAAGGTGGCTACGTTCTCAGTCAAAGAAGGAAAAAATTGAACAGCTTTTGGAGAGATACTGTACAACATGAAGGATTGTAATTTTGCTCCAACACCTATGAGCATAGATTTTCACAACACTTTGGATGAGGACAAAAGCAAAGCCTGTGATCAGGAGATATATCAGTCAGCAATAGGAAGCCTATTTGTCATTTGTCACAGTGGTCCAGACCAGACATAGCTTGTGCAGTAAGCATCTTAAGACACTTTACTGCCACACCAACGCAGTTGCATTGGATGGGTGTGAAGAGAATTCTCAGGTATTTGAAGGGAACTGTGAATTTGGGTCTTCAAATACAGGTCTCTGAAGAGTTAAAGTTAAAAAGTTATGTTGACAGTGATTATGCCAATGATATGCAAACCAGAAAATCCAATTCTGGGTTTGTGGTATTATTTGAAGAGACTTTGATTGGATGGAAGTCCAGAAAACAAACAACTATAGCTATTTCTGTAGAGGCAGAATTTATTGCTCTGTCTGAACTTTGTTCAGAAGTGACCTGGTATGTACAGCTGTTAAAGGATTTAAGTATAAAAGTTAAAAAAGCGGGAACAGTATTTGAAGATAATGTTACTTGCATTAAAATGGCAACAGTGACAGAGTGAAAAGTAGAAGCAAGCATGTGGACATTAAGTATTTAATGTCAGAGAAACAATCAAAAGTAAACTAATTTGCTTGCTTCATTTTTCTTCAGATGACAATCTGGCAGATGTAATGACCAAGCCATTGAATGGAGTACATCATGGGAAGAGTATTAAATTATTTGTTTTTATGTCTATTCCAGTCATAAAGGGAGGAGTGTCACTATGTAAGAAATTTTATGAACTGGAATAGTCATAGCAACAAACCAGCCAATGACAATTGTTTTTGATTAAGACATAATATTGGCTGTGTAAGGCATGTGATCCAGCCTAGGTCTGGGCATGTCTTAGTCTTCTCTGTTTTTTTTTCTGATCTCCAAGTTCAGAGTTGTTGATGTTCCCCAGAGCTGAATGAAACTGTATGTATCTTGTTTATATATATTTTATAGATAAAGTTTTTCTAAACTATGCTTCCTGCTCATTTTGAATGTGTACTTATTTTTTGGACTTATTTTTGTGCTGGAATGCTGTAAAACTCTAACAGAAAATAGGTTGACTTATTCTCCAAAATAGGTTCACCAAAATTCTCCAAAATAGGTTCACCAAAATTCTCACTTTCTTTGATTTTATTATTGAAATTTAATCTTGAAGATTAATATGTGAAAGATGGCATGGTAAAATGGACTAAAACTTTGGTTATAATATTATGCTTGATCAATAGGGAGTTATGTTATACAAGATTTGTAATTTACATTGAATTATCATTTGAAAGAACATTTTTATGGAAAGATGTATTGATGGCATTTAACTCCTGACAAGTTATCAAAGATGTACAAGAGAGTATCAAACAAATGTTGGAATGTAATTAATCTGAAGGTACCTTTTATAATTCTTGGTGGATATATGGGAAAGCCAAAAAAATTTGGAATCAGATGCCCCAAAGCTTCTTGGATGAGAAAGGAAAAATTTTCTAAGAAAACACCATGAAAGCCCCATTGCCTTTTGAAAAAAAAAAAAAAAAAACAGTTTTGCAACAACCATGACGTGGATGATTGAGAATCTCCATAGATAATTGGAATCAGGTGGGTTCAGAAAATTTTGGAAATGGATGTATAATTGAAACTGAAGCTTTTGTTTTAGAGATAGCAGATAAACAGTTGGAAAGAAGAAATCATTTGTACACATGACTATAGGTGGCAAGGTTGTTATATGCTCAAAAATGGAAAGAGAAAAATATACTCACAATGGAAGAATGGATTTTGAAACTAATGAGTCTAGCCAAAATGAAGAAATTGACTGCTTTTCTTAGAGACAGTAATTTGACTAAATTATTTGCAACTTGGAGTCTGCTGCTTGATTTCTTACAAGATAAAAAGAAAAATCAACTTTTAACTTTGGGATTTTAGGATTAGATTGGACTGAATTAAAATATTGTAGCTTTTTAAATATAAGGTTTTATGTATATATTTGATGATTTAATATCAGTTAGATTAAAGTTAAGAGAAGACTATTGGCATTTTAGAATGTGGACTATTGAGATTTTAAATTATTGGTATTATTTGTTTAAATTTAGAGAGAGATTGTTCTATGATTATTTTCTCTGACCAAAAGAAAGCTGGAAATCATCTTTGTTATACATTTGTTTGTTGCATTTTTTCTGTTACATTTAATTTGCATTGTTATTCCCTTTTCCCTTTTGTGTTATTTTGTATTTTAATGTTTGACTTTGAAATTTAATGAAAATTTAATTTAAAAAATAATGGAAAATGATAGCTAAGAAAAGAAATGCAGATGATGCTTATGATGAGGAGGTGTTGCAATCAAATGTGTAAAATTGGCTGACCCCCCAAGAGCTCTCCCTTTGTTTTTTTAAAACTAATTTTTAACAGATTTTAGTCATCCTTGTCTCTCTTTAAATTCTAAATTTCCTAAATTTTTAATTTCCATATGTTCTTCTATTTTAACAATTTTATTGTATGCTGCTTAGTGTTCTTCCCAAGGGAGATAAGCAGTTCAAAAAGGTAAAAAAACAAACAAATGAAGTAAAATATCCAGGTGCCTCTTGCCAGGAGAGGTGGCTGGAGATGATCTAAATGGGGCTTTGGGCGAAAAGCCCATTATGCACATCAGCCATTTCCATAACTAACTGAACACTAAGAACTGGCTCTGCAAATTACCAGTTCCTATCAAGGTTAAGATGGAAAGGTGTATAAGGGAAGAGAAATTGGCAGAAACATTGCACAAAGGAAAGGAATGGATAGCTATGTACATAAGGAGAAAAATACAGAGAAATACGTGCATAACATTAGGACCCTTCACACCCAAATTTTCAAAGAAGCCAAATCAGACCTGTTGAGTGTGTGTGTGTGTGTGTGTGGAGGGGGCAAAATGTTTTTATTAGAATTTTGACATTACTTTTTATTCTCTAGTTCTCTCAATTAACAGATCAGGCCAAAATAACAAAGTAAATATTTTTCTCTATTTTGTTTTAATTGGCAGAAGCTATCCTGGTTCTCTGAGGTTATTGCCCAGGAAAATTTCAGGTGAAAATTTCTACAGAATACCGATTACATATCTGAAATGATTGTCACCTATGATCCAGAAAGAAAGAACTCACCAAAGCCCTTTGCAAAATCCTCTAAAAAGGGGATGGAGGCTCTCTCCGCAAATGCATCTGCCTGGTTCACTAGAGCCTCTTTGACTGTCTCATAGCCAGTCAGCACCACCATCTCCTGGAATCCCAGTCTGATGCGGAAAATGGGACCATATTTTTTGGACAACTGAAATTCAACAAATGAAAAACAAGAGAACGTTTTGATCAATAATTAATAAGTGATCATGTGCAGAAATTTGTTTAAGCTATCATGTCTCACAGTTCCAACGCTGAGATCATGTTATTTTCTGTTTTTGCTTTATGGCATGTTATGATGTTGTATTTTTATGATTTTTAATTTTCATTTCATTTACTACATTGTGTTTGTGTGTATGTACAGTATGTGTGTGTGTGTGTGTGTGTGTAAAATCAAAATGACCCTTATGTAATAAGAGGGTTCTTGCACACCAGATGACCATGTCAAATTGATAAATGTTTCTCATAAACATTTTCATAAAGGGATTAACTATGTAGGACTCTGTATGAAGGTGAAACCTGTGCAAGAGATATACTTATATTCCAGCATTTTGAACAGCTATCTTGAAGCCTTTAGTGCTGGATACACAGTTGAATTTTAGTTAAAAGAGACTCTATGCAGTTGTTGAAAGGATTACACAGAAACTTCCAAGGAAAGAAATTAAAATATATTTTCATAAATGACTTTGGAAATCAGGAAAAATAGCCCACTCTTCTTCTTACAAAGCTGTAAGAAAATTTTTCATTTAATGTTGCTCTCTGCAGAAATTATTTAATTACTTAGAATTCTGCTTAAAACATAGGAGTGCCTCTAAGAACATATACAAAACCATTCAGCTTAATAGTATATTTCCATGGGTTTTGAAACAGCTCTGCAAATCTGAATGAACAATTACAAAATTTTATATCTATTAACAAATGTCAGTGAAGCTTCACAGTCATCCAGGTAGAGTTGTCTGAAAGTTGAATCATGGCATCTGGACTTCTTTTCTTTTTTGTTTTGAAACTTTTGGCTGCTTATCCAAGTAGCTTGTTCAGTCTGAGCAAGTTGGGGAAGGGGACCCCATATATGTCCTCCAGGGTAGCCAGGCGAATAGTAGAGAGTCATTAAAGGTCATTACTCAAAAATCTTTCTCTTAAATGGGTCCTAATGAGTCTATTCAGATTAGGTGAGAAATGAAAACACCCTGGAGGATATATAATATATGGGGTCCCCCCCCCAAGCAACTTGAAGTTACTTGGATAAGCAGCCAAATGTTTTAAATGAAAAAAGAAAAGAAGACCAGTTGCCATGACTCAACTTCTAGACATCCATTAACCAAAAAAGATTTTCTTTTTTTTTAAACAAAATTTTATTAAGTTTATATAGATGGGGAAAGATAGGAACAATACAGATATGATAAATGGAGGAGTGGAAGGAAAGAGGAAGGGAATAAGGTATTAGGGTAAAATAAGGATGGGTACAATCACATATTTCAACAAACAAGCTACCATCCGGATCATAATAATGAGTAAATATCATATTCAACCATTTTTACCAAAGCTTAGACCAGTGTTTCTCAACCTTGACAATTTTAAGGCATGTGGACTTCAACTCCCAGAATTCCACAGCCAGCAATGCTGGCTGTGGAATTCTGGGAGTTGAAGTCCACATGCCTTAAAATTGTCAAGGTTGAGAAACACTGGCTTAGACTATAACATATTAAAAACAATTAGTAAACAAATATGTTGATCTATTAAGTAAACACTAATAAAATCTCAAAAAATTCTAACAATCAAAGATAACAAATGAAAATCAGTAAATCAGGAAAAATAATCATATCATCAAACTGTTAGTTAGACCTCAATTAAAAAATCAGTCATCTATTCTAAAATATTGAATCCTTCCAGTTCTAACGTGTCTCTAACCACTGATAAAATTTTCCCCAAGTTCTAAAATAAATTGAATCATCTTTTTCTTTCATTTCTAATGTTAGTCTATCCACTTCTGCACACTCTAAAATTTTAGTGATTATAATCTGGTCAGATGGTAAATTCTCATTTTTCCAAAACTGGGCAAATACTATCCTTGCAGCAGTTAAAACATGCAATATCAAGTAGTCATTCTCTTTACCATAATTAGGTTTTAATATTCCTAACAAAAACAATTCCAGTTTAAATTCTATCTGTAGTTTCATCATCTTTTCCAACCATCTATGGATCTTAGACCAATATTTCTTAGCGATAGGGCATATCCACCAGGCATAGTAGTAATCAATCTAACGTGGAGCTGGAAGAAAGTATGGCAATGATGGAGTTTGAACACGTATCATATTTTCTAAGATTCCAAAATGTGATAGAAGAGAATGATGAGAACTTGTTACTATTGATGACTGAGTTATTGATGGACTTCCTCGGAATGGAAATGGATCAAATCAAAAGAGAAGTTGATCAAGTCTATAGAGTGAATTCAAATTATGCAAGAAGAAATAGAGTGCCAAGGGAAGTTCATGTTAGATTCAGCAAAAGAGCAGTACGGGATGAAAAGATTTTCTTGTAATAATCCTTCCAGGATTCATAAATATAACAGAATAACATAAATAAGATTGTTGGAAGGGACCTTGGAGGTTTTCTAGTCCAACCCCTTGTTCAGATATCAGGTAAATCTCACTTTTAAAATATTTTCATAGATATTGAAAAACATCAGCAAACATGAGCAACTGATCACATTTTTGTGTTATCTCAACAAATTTTGCTAAGAATACTTATTAATCATTTACCTCCATCATTGTTCTGTAAGGCCTCTTCAGATCCACCATGTGCAGATTTCCCAAAATGGGTATGGTCCTGGGTCCCGGGGGGAGATTGGGGGAGCTGTTATTCCAGGAACTGCCCTTTTTCAAAAGGAACATAACTGCAAGAATAAATAGTAATACTATTACAATTGCTCCAGTCCAATCCATTTCCTTTTAGCAATCAGCTTTCAGTAACAATTACAATGAATTCGGCAAACTGAAGTGATACAAGTATGTACTTCAAAGCACTGAATTAGGCATAGCTCATCTACTCTTTCTACTGAATCAACAGCATGCCCTGTATAAAAGGGGACCTCCCTCCTTTCCCTTGTTTTGCCTCTCTCCTCCCCTGGAATGTAACCTGAGCTGCAGGATCTTTGCAAACAAATTTAAACATGTTTGAATTGTGCAACAATCCAACATTTAGGTCAGATGTTAACTGTAGCCTTGTTCACTTAATAATACTATTTTACATCGCTTTCTGGGTGACCAGTCAACTCTTTGCACCATTACTTTAATTTTATAATGTTTTACAAGCTCACTAAATGAAAGAACACAAAAAACCCCAACCAACTTGATAGCGATCACATAACACACTGACAAATGTCCTCTTCTCAGCTTCAATACATGACATCAATAACTGAATCCTACTGTGACCTGATTGGCTCATTGCCAAAACAAGATGACACATATTGGCTCTCTAAACACTCATGCTCATTGGCTACAATCAGATGAAGGAAAGCTACCTGATATCAAATTAAGCAAGTTGTGCTTCCATTTTCTGGTTATTTGGCTATAGGTTTTCATAGAATACAATACAGATAATTGAACAAACTTTGTTGCATTACATTATTGATTAAATTATCTTTCCATTGATATATAATTTTATGGTATTACTCCAAAAAAGTGGCGTTATTAGCCATCAAACCTCAAAAATACACTTTTCCCAAAAGGTTTCCACAATTTTGGCCTCTACTGTAAATGTTTCACTATACAGTTAACAATTCCAACAAATGGAATTAAGCAATATTGGGTCCCAAGAACAAAAGACACGCGCCTTCTTGAGTAATTATATAGTTGAGCCATCATTTTCACATTGGCTGAATATTAACGAATTTTCCATGACTTTGTGAGTAGGAAAAAAGAGTATTTTCTGGTTTTTTGCATAATCTCTTATTTGGCCACAAAAGTTTCTTTGACAAACTTTCTTCTTGTGGCACTGGGGTCTCAGTGGCCTATCTGTATGGGAGGAGTGGGAGATATGTTGTAGGTGAGAGCTGCCACACAGTTAAAATCCTTCGTTTAAATTGGTTTGGCATTACACAGCGTTGACACAAAATTGGGGGTGATGTATGCAAATGTTCATATATGACTGCCACTGGATCCTTTTCATTTCCTCAACTTTATATGCTGAAAAAACATGTTTGTTTGTTTGTTTGTTGTTTCTTCTTTCTCTTCCTCCCTCTCTTCCTGGCCATCAGCTTTGGGGTTAATACATAATTTGATGGTCTTGGATCCACAACTTCATAATATTTGAACTTTATTCAGTTACATCCATATTTGGACTGAGAGACCCTTGTTCCACATGTGTGCCCTCAGGTTTAACTTATGGTCACACACTCACTGCCTTGGAAAATTGCCACACACAAATTACTTTCAACTGAACACTGAGGCACAAACAATTCTTTAGAATGCACAGAGACCCAGTCAATTTAAAATAGCAAGCAACTTTACTGATTACAAAGTATATCTGTGTAGGACGAAAACACAACCCCGGAAAAAGCCCTGTTTATAACAAAGGTCTTCTAAGATATTAAAAAAGCCAAATAAAATTGCACAAGCAGCAAAAGGTAAAAAGTAACACCATCTACGTTTTTTCCCTCTCACTCGAAGCTGTCAGATAAATAACCTCCAGCAGTCTGGCGTGGACTTTAGCCTAAAGAAAAAGCAACAACGTTGCAACCAGAGGTTTGAGTGGCTCTAGCTCAGTGATGGTGACCCTTTTAGAGACTGAGTGCCCAAACTGCAACCCACTTATGCATCGTTGAGTGCTGGGTGGGTGTGGCCCATTGGGTGGGCATGGCCCTTTGGGTGGGCGTGGCTGCAGTGGTAATGGCAGACTGGGTGGGACTAAAAAATTTAATCAATCAATTCCAACTTTGCCAGATCTTTGTTTTCCTGTGAGAAGTTGAAATTGACTGATTGAAACTTTTTTTTTTTTTGTACATGGCGGTGGAGGCCTAAAGCAAAAAGATTTTATAAAACCCAGCTGAAGACCTAGGACTGGGGCAATGGCACGCACGCCCACAGAGAGGGCTCTGAGTGCCGCCTCTGGCACCCATGCCATAGGTTCGCCACCACTGCTCTAGCTGTTGTGAAAGCAAACACAATGAATGCAGCCTGTTAATTTACAGAAATAGCTTTCCAGAGGCTATAGACTGGCTAGAGATAAAGAGGTAAAGCTAATTACATCTGTTTAACCAGCTTAAGTCAGGGAAACTGACACATTACACCCGTTAATAGCCTTCATGAAATGTGCTAGCCAAAATTAAATAACAAATACACAAAGTAAGCCTCCAGATTACAGAATGCTTTAAAATTGTATAAAAACCCATGTATTTAATAAACCAATTTGCCAGCTGACCCGGAATTCATCTCTGCTGTTACCAGTAGCATTGATTTCCAAAATAAACCAACCTCCTTTCCGATACATTTATCTCCGGGCTCTTCATTTCATCGGCCTGATCGTGCTCTCCTAGCTAGAAAAAATGAACCGTAGGGGCATTTTCTTCTCACATCTGTTTGGTCTTTCATGCACATATGTGGGACGTCAGCCCACCTACCCTTATTTTTTGGGGGTGGGCCTAATTTAAGCCCTACTCCAAAAATAAGGCCTAATTAGGAACCTGCCCAGTCTGTCCCACCTCACTGCTGCAACGGGGCAGGAGGCCGTGTGGCATATCGCGCTGCTGCCAGCACAATGAGACAAGGCAGGTGTGGGAGGAGGTGGAGCTGCCCCATGCACCTGCACCCACTTCTTTCAGGACCCCTCCAGCCAGACCATTCCTTGCTCGGCAATCTTCCCTTTCACTCCTCTCATAAGCCGGACTGCCATGCTATGGAAGTTTGGTGTGGTAGGCCCAATCCCCCTCTGCCATTTCAGAGCAAGGAGGGAGTGATAGCAAAAGGCTCCGCTGCTGCTGTGCGCCACTGGAGGGGCTTTCTTTGTGCTTTACCCCCCAGATCATTTTGTTGGATAGGGCCCACTGTTCAAGTTTGTCAAGATCTTTTTGTATCCTGAGTTTGTCTTCTGGGGTGTTGGCTACTCCTGCCACTTTGGTGTCATCTGTAAAATTGATGAGTTCCCCTTCTATTCTCTCATCTAAGTCATTGATGAAGATATTGAAGAGTACTGGGCCTAAGACGGGACCTTGTGGTACCTCACTGCTTACTTCTCTCCATGTGGATGTAGTGCCATTGAGGACTACTTGTTGAGTATGGTTTGTTAGTCAGCTATAGATCCATCTGGTGGTGATGTTGTCTATTCCACCTTTTCTTAGTTTATCAAGGAGTAGGTAATAATAATAATAATAATAATAATAATAATAATAATAATAATAATAATAATAATAATAAAGTTGGAAGGGACCTTGGAGGTCATTTAGTCCAACCCCCTGCTCAGACAGGAAACCCTATTCCATTTCAGACAAATGGCTGTCCAGTCTCTTCTTAAAAACTTCCAGTGTTGGAGCATTCACCACTTCTGGAGGCAGGTTGTTCCACTGGTTAATTGTTCTGTCAGGAAGTTTCTCCTTAGTTCTAGGCTGATTCTCTCCTTGATTAGTTTCCATCTGTTGCCTCCTGTCCTGCCTTCAGGCGCTTTGGAAAATAGTTTGATTCCCTCTTCTTTGTGGCAGCCCCTGAGATATTGGCATATTGCTATCATGTCCCCCCTCGTCCTTCTTTTCATTAAACTAGACATACCCAATTCCAGCAGCCTTTCGTTATGTGCTTCAGCCTCCAGTCCCCTAATCATCTGTGTTGCTCTTCTCTGTACTCTTTCTAGTGTCTCAACATCATTTTTACATCGTGGTGACCAAAACTGGATGCAGTATTCCAAGTGTGGCCTTACCAAGGCATTGTAAAGTTGTATTAATACTTCACGTGATCTTGATTCTATCCCTCTGTTAATGCAGCCCAGCACTATGTAGAACCTTACTTTTTTCACCATTGAATTTCATTTTGTTAGATAGCGCCCAATGTTCAAGTCTGTCCAGATCCTCCTGTATCCTAAGCCTGTCTTCTGAAGTGTTGGCTATTCCTGCCGGCTTGGTGTCATCTGCAAATTTGATGATTTCCCCATCTATCCCCTCATCCAAATTGTTGATGAAGTTGTTGAAGAGCACTGGGCCCAGAACAGAGCCTTGGGGCACCCCACTACACACTTCCCTCCATTAGATGTGGTTCCATTGAGGACCACATGCTGAGTATGGCCGGTCAGCCAGTTACGGATCCATCTGGTGGTGATGCTGTCTAACCCACATTTATCAAGTAGTAGGTTGTGATCTACTTTGTCAAATGCCTTACTGAAGTCCAAGTAAATTATGTCCACAGCATTCCTCTGATCCACTAATTTTGTCACTTGGTCAAAGAATGCAATAATATTTGTCTGGCATGATCTGTTTTTGATAAACCCATGTTGGCTTTTAGTAATGACTTTGTTTGCCTGTAAGTGTTCGCTGATTCGTTGTTTGATTATCTTTTCCAGAATCTTCCCAATATTGAGGTCAGGCTGATAGGTCTGTAATTTCCTGGGTCTTTCCCCCCTCCTTTTTGAACATGGGAACTACATCAGCTCTTTTCCAGTCCTCCGGTAGTTCCCCAGTGCTGCAGGATCTTTGAAAAATATAGTTCAATGGTTCTGAGATCACATCTGACAGTTCCTTGAGAACCCTGGGGTGTAGTTCATCTGGTCTTGGTGATTTGAACTTGTCTGGGCTGGACAGGTGCTCACTTACCATTTTCTTGCCTATCTTATCTTGCGTTTCTTTTCTGTTTTTTTGGCACTATTTTTGGTAGGTTGGTCTGTTTTTTTCCCTTTGTGTAAAGATAGATGCAA